GATTTTAATCATAGAAGTTATAGAGTTTGTAAGCTACACTAAGAGATAATTCTCTTAGTGATAGTTCTTAGATCCCAGAAAATTCTGCTTGGAATTTTTTAGTATTCTATATAGCTGGGTCCTGTGTTGGCTATTCTTTTTAAAGCTTTTAACTTTGTGTTTTCTTGCTACTACTGTCATAAAAGGAGTTTCGTCTTGTTTAGTAGAGTTGAGGTTAGATTCTTCTGCTTCATTGCTCAGGTTGGCAGTTGTTTTATTGGCTTCAAGGTTTGTATTGGTATTAGCAGTTAAGAATCTAGTTCTATGTTACTAGATAAGCTCTCATTCGGACTTGAGATTTCATTAGGTGTTGCAACTGGGTCAGGAACTATAGTTTCTTTTTTATCTTGGATTACTTCTTCTATATTGGTTTTGTATAGATTGCTAGGGCTAAAGCTAATTTTTGTAGTCTCTGATTTTTGTGTTTTTTCCCTCTTTATTTTAGATCTAGCTTTTCTAAAGAGACGTTTAGCTTCTATTGAATCTTTGAGTTCCTTACAATCTTTCTTGATATGCCCTTCCTTTTCACAGTAGAAGCAGCTTTTTTCCATTTTGTCATTACTTTATGATTGCCAATATGTGTAGTTTTAGAGATTGTCACTTTATAGAAGAGAGGTTTAAAAGATGCTATTTGGCCAATATAATGGAAGGCTTCTACAATACGGTTGCTAATAAGTTTGATATCACCCATAGAGGTGTTCTTTAGTTTTACAGTTAGGAAAGATTGGTTAAGATTAACTGAAATGTATCCAAACAGAGTTGTTTGAATAAAGAAATGCCTTCAGCTGTATAGTATTGCACTTTTTCCTTATCTTTAAGAATAAGTTCGAGATAGGTTCTTTTTCCTCTTGAAGTATGGGTCTTCACAGCTATGAGATCTTCCTTCAAGCTCATAGCCAGGGCTGCAATAATATCATTGGTTGGTATGTTGTTTAAGTTTTGAATATCAATAACTAGTGTGTTTTCATTCTTTGAGTGGATTTTTTTGTCTAAAGAAGAGTTAGTATAAGTTGACTTTCTTCTCTTTAACTTCACAAATAGATCAAACCACTGTTTGGGTTTAGATTCTTCATTTTGATTGCTTTGTACCTTGGGTATATTAGATGAAGATGATTCGTCTAAGGTAGTTGAATGCACAGAAGTTGATTGGTTGCCTATAGACATATGTTCCTTTTGTTTATTGTTTATATTATTTATGTAACTTGTGTTTGGGTGATCTATATGCGTTTCTTGTTGACTACAAGAATTTTCATTTTCGCTTTCTTTTGTAATTGTTTTTTCTTTTTCTACCTGGTTCGCCTAGTTTGTATCAGATACATTGAGAGTCAGGTCGACTAAAACTTCTGTTCCTGGCCTAGTACTATTATTGTTGCTATTGTTATTGTTGTTGTTAATTTTCTTGTTGTTTTCTTTGTTTTCTTTAGT